GAAGTCACTAAAATGAGAGGAAGCCTTGATCTAACACTGGTGGTTATCTATGAATCCTATAATTCAACATAGCCTTTAAAAGGATTTCAAAGGAAACAAATTATCCTTCTAGATCCTGAGAATTTACTAAAATAAAGCCAGCTGGGGCTTTGGGCTGTCAAAATTCATAATTAATCAAACTAGAATCAGAGTAAAAGCTTTGGGCTGAGGCTTGGGTACATGAGGTACAGAAGTTAGGGACCCAGAGGAGGGAAGTGACAACCTGGGCTGAGGACAGGGTTTATGCTATTACTACTACTGCCACCACCACCAAATTAATAATAATAGTTACTGCATTGTTATTTGTAGATCTCCTTCAGGGTGTTGGGCAAGGCTATCCTCTATGAATGGCTTAAATCCTGAACTGTTGTAGCATGTCCTTACAGTGTTTGAATTCTGGTGCTAATTCTGCATCCTCAACAGGGGTTGCCCCTGACAGGCAGTTGATCACATACTCAATTGATCTCACGTGAACCTTCTCCCTATTTTAACTGGTCAGTAAAGGCTAGAGCCTGTGATTGGACAGTGGAGGGGAAAGGTGGGATGGGAGGTCTTTGAGGGGGGGGTAGGTAGAGGAGAATGAGAAGAGGGAGAGAGGATGGAGAAGAGGAGGGGGAAGCCAAGATGGACCAGAACCACCAAGCCAGGAGAAACTACAAGTAACAAAGGGTCTCATAGCTGGAGAATAAGTTTATATAGTGTTAGTTCTGCCCAATCTAAGCACATAGCTTATAAATATAGTAACTAGATTGTGTGGCTTTTATACAGGCTTATTGGGGTTGGAAATTACTACAATATTTGGTGCCCAATGTAGGGCTTAGAACTGAAGTAACCTAAAGATAAAAAGCACCACCTCCCAATATAAACAACTAGGCTGTGTTCTAAAGCTGCAGCAGGGTGGAAATTAAACACCAAGTAGGGCTAAGGGGTCTACAGGGAACTAACTGAGAGGCTCACTCCCCAAGCCCCAAGCAAACCAATGCAACCAGAGGCAGCACCACAGCCCTGAGCTGGGACTTAGATAGTGCCAGTGCCACAACATGGTTGGGAATCCTGAAGCTTAAAGAAGGACTAAGGAGCCTGGGGTGTGACTGCCTGTGAAGACGCAGCTGTGAACCTTCCAAAGCCTTCTCACAGGCACAGCGGGCTGATCCGGGCATCTCTGAGCAAGCCTTTCCATGCTCAGTTTCCTGTATTCTCCACATATAAATAGGACATGGGACAGCCAGGCCTGCTCTATCAACCTGCCTGGGATCAGTGTGCGCTACTGGCTGCAACCCAAAGACAGGATGGCCCAGAAGCAAACTGCAGTGTTCGAAACTGAACAGCAGAGGGAGACAAAGATACAAGAAGCTCCAGATCAGGTACTAAGAATTATAAACTGATGATAGATAGATAGATAGATAGATAGATAGATAGATAGATAGATAGATAGATGATAGATATATCAGATACTTAAAGATGAGAAACATATTTAGGGTTTATGGGATGATATTTTGAATGGCTCGATAGGGATGGATTTAAAGAAAATTGACACCTTCCCATTTATCACTACAATGTTAAATATCTTAGTTTACTGTGTCTTTTTAAAAGACAGGGCCCTAGATGAAAAATTACAAGTTAGAAAAGGGGTAAGAGGAAACACTGGAACTAAAGGTACAGGAATTTATAGGTCATGGCAAGTGACAGAGAAAGGTAAATGCAGGTTGGGACGGAAATGGAAAAGACACGAGAACAAAAGATGCAACAGCTCCCAGATCGGACTGAGAAGCAGAGAGAGAGAGTAACAGGGATTAGAAGCAAGGCCTGGAGGAGAACCTTTTAAAATTAATCAATCAAGATAAAATAGATAGCAGAATATCAGAATTGCAATATAAAGAACAAATTAAACTGTGGAAGTAGAACCTTGAACAGGGAATAGAGGAATTTATGCAACAGGAGGAGTGACAAAAGGAGAGATATGAAACATGGGCACAGACCTTAAGGGAGGATCTTAAAATTTCAATTAGGGAAAATACTCAGGTAGAGGCAGAAGATAAAATTAGAGAAAGCCCACTGAAGGTTGTTAGAAGGCAAACTTTAGTTTATCCGGTTCATATACAACAATGATCCCCAGAGACAGGTTACATAGTGCTTCATTAATCTTAAATTTTTAAAATGCTACTGAACAAAAAACTACGGCTACTGAACGACACTGAATTGCAGAAAAAACTGCTGAATTAAACTAGCCTGTTTCTTTTAAGGATGGAAAACAGGAAATGTGTTACACTGGGGGAGGGGTTATGCCTATATTTCCACAGGAAAACAAAAACTATGAGTTCCTTTCAAGTTGATAAGAATCAGGTATGACAAAGGGAATCCCCTGAAGACCTTGGCTACAGACAAGAAGCAGATGGACAGGATCAACAAGATAAGTGACGTATGTGTGGTGACGCATGTGTCCCTGTACACAGGGACAGCTCTGGGATCTTCTAACACTTAAATGTCTAGATAAAGCCAATAACACTTATTGGGCACAAAATTCTCTTGACTTATTATTACATACCATCCTTTAAGAAGGCATGAATGGAAAATTATATTGTAGTTTGATTATGTAATCAAACTAAGCTTTAAAGAAAGGCAGTTGTCTTTTTTAAAATTGATCTTCTTGAACTGATCTGCGCACCCTGCACATTCCATACAAATGTCTTTACAGAATTGTGTTGCTTGTAATGTTTATATATTACAGAACGGAAGAGGAGAAATACAGCCCTGACAAGATCGACACTCTGGGATGCTGAGATTCTGAGACCTTCCATTCCAGCTCCTTGCTTGACTCTACCTCAACTACACTGAAGCTGTTTCCTCCAAAGACTTGCTTCTAGGACATTTCCAGAACAGCTAGCTTGCCCATCCAGCCTTTCAGACTTTTATTGTCAGGACTTCAGCTAAGCCATGAACTTTCTCAGCACATAGAGACTGGAAGGCAGATGATACCAGCTAGCCTTCCTTTAACAAAGCCAATTTTCTTACTTCCTTTTGGGCCCCCAGAAGGAAATTCTTTACCCTAATTCAGCTAGAAGCAAACAAAAGAAGATCTTTGTCCCAGTTCCTTAGGTTGGGGTGATGGTTCTTAGATTATAGATATATTGTCATTTAAGGTATAATTTTCAAATGTTGTAGCCTCAGACAGGGAGGAAACTAGAGAGCTCAGACTCAGGGATTTCTACCTTTCCTTTCCTCTTCTCTATCCTTCTTTCTTAGATGAAGGATGGGGTGGAAAAAAGGAGGATATAGTAGTATTATAGAAATTAAAGAAATAGACAAATAGGGATAGAATATTAAATTTACTCTTAAGCAAAGTATTGTATAGTCATAATCTTACAGTGACAGAAATCTTTATATTTGATACAAAATTAAGGTTATAATTTCTTACATTGGTTTAAGGTTTTCATTGGTATAAAATTTTGTATATTGATAAAAAATTTAAAATTAATATTGTTACTCTTAAATAGGCGTTGTGCCTATGTAACTCACTTAAAAATACAGAGGCTTAGACCCAGTCCTTCTAATAGCTGCTATTATAAGCTGTTTAGGATGATTAAGTAATGCAATCTAATAGTCAGATAGTGAAACTCAAGGTCATATTAGATTCTAATTTAGTTAATTACAACAAGTGTTTTCAAGATTATTTAAATAGTAAATAGCTAAGAATAATCAATGTTTTGATAATTCAGTTATGCTATATATATAATCTTCAAATGCATCAGAGATCCACAGAATATGGCATCTAATATGTCGGTACTAAAGATCAGTTGACATGTGTGCTCCCGACAGTTCCCCATTCCACTTCAAGGACGACGTTGAGCATCATCACCTCCAGGTGGAGTTGTTTTGATTGTGGCAAGGTATCCCCTAATTCATCTACAGACAAGAATACTGTCCCAAAAGGACGAACAGACGTGGGATAGTCAATGGCTAAGCTCTGCCAAGACAAGTAAGCTAGTCTTTCATAATCCCTGCTTCATTTCAAGGTCTGTCAGACGGCTTTGGCCCAGAAGGCTCAAGACAGACACTCTGACATTTTGAAGAATAAGGGACTGTCCAGACAGTCAGCTGTCTCTACAAATTGTATAGCTTTGGAAGCTATGTTTTTGTGCTTCCTACATATTCATATAATATTTAATTCCTTCTTAGATCTCTGGCAGGGTTAAAGACAAGTTATAGTCTTGTAATTGAACTTACATTGCTTAGCATTAAAGAAGATGTTTTAGATTTGAAAAAATAGATTTCAGATGGTAACAAAAACTGAAATCAACATAATTCAGGCACAGAATTGTAAACTCCTTAATTAGGATAGATGGTAGAGTACTTTATCTAAATTGACAAATATGGTGGCCTGGATATTAAGTAAATATCATACTTTATAATTTACATAATTATATGGTTGTGCTCAATTTATATCTGAGAGAAAGAGCCTTTTTAACTGGACAAAAAGGGGAAATGTTGTGGGTTGTCCTGATGCTGTTTGACTTGTTTGAATTCTGATGTTAATTCTGCTTCCTCAAGAGGGGTTGCCCCTGACAGGCAGTTGATCACATACTCAGGTGATCTCATGTGAGCCTCCCTATTTTAACTGGTCAAGAAAGGCTAGAGCCTGTGATTGGACAGTGGAGGGGAAAGGTGGGATGGGAGGTCTTTGAGAGTGGGGGCAAGTGGAGGAAAAGAGAAAGAGAGAGAGAGAGAGAGAGAGAGAGAGAGAGAGAGGGGGAGAGGGAGGAGGAGGAGGAGGAGGAGAATGAGGAGGAGGAGGATGAGGAGGAGGAGGAGGAGGAGGAAGAAGCCAAGATGGATCAGAACCACAAAGCCAGGAGAAACTACAAGTAACAAAGGGTTTCATAGCTGGGGAATAAGTTAATATAGTGTTAGTTCTGCCCAATCTAGGCACATAGCCTATAAATATAATAACTAGATTTGTGTTTTTTATACAGGCTTATTGGGGTTGGAAATTACTACAACACTGAAGTGTTATTTTTATAATTCTACTTATTTGTTTGTTTGTTTTGTGTGTGATTTTATTTGTTTGTTTGGTGTGTGTGTGTGTGTATGTGTGTATGTGTGTGTATGTGTGTATGCCATTCTATGCATATGGCCATCAGAGTGTATAGCCCCAAGGAATCAGTTTTTTCTTCCTGACATGTAGGTCCTAGGGATGGAACTCAAGTCTCTAGGCTTAGCAGCAAGCACCTTTAACCACGGAGCTATCTTGCTGGCCTAAAAATCTCTTAAGCAAGTCAGGGTCTTACTATTAATTTGGGCTGGTCTTGTACTCCACACAGCTCAGGTCAGCTGAAACTCTCCACCTTCCTGCCTGTGATTACTGAACCCTGGGATCACATCTCTGCACCAGTACACCTGGCACTGCAGGCTTTTCTAGAACTACCTGCACAGCATTTGATGGAGGGGAGGCCAAGGAAGGACTGTAGTGAGGGAGGCTGGGGTGGCTGCAGGAAGGGTGTGTACGACAACGGCAGCCTTCATCAGGGAGCTATGAAGGCACAGAAGGCAAGGATAGACTATGAACAGGTACAAAGCAGGGTGGAGCAGTGCCTGGCACCTCTAGAGAATGTAACCTAGCTAGTCAGGGGTTGGGGGCTTCTGGGTGCTGCTCTGAGGGAAAGAAAAGAACTATTAAACCGCTAGGGACTGTGTACTCCCCAGCAAGGCTGTGCCCAGCTCTCTACTCTACTGAGGGTCTGAAGAACAGCTTTTGTCCTTATGGAGGATTCTCAGAGTCTCACATAGACCTTATACCTATGGCCAAGATTTGAAACACACATAGCAGACCTGTGTTTGCCTTTGAGGCTCTGGTAAATGTAACTTTTAACAGGGTGTTTTGTTTCTCCAACTCAAACTATTGCTTATTGCTAAAGGAGATGGACAGAAAGAAAATGCAGGAGACTCTGGCAGCCGCTGGATGATTGACATAAAGTCTGTGTGAGATTCCTGAGAGTCCTTCTTAAGGACGGAAGTCATTCTTCATGTTGCCCAGGTCTAAGGATGTGGAAGCATGTCTGGTACTCAGCCCACAAGAGGTGGGAGTTCACACTGAGGATAGAGCAGCAGAAAGGTCTCTAATTACACTGCAGGGCCACAGCCCAGCCTTGGACTAGACCCATCTCCAGGCTTCTTTAAGATGAGAGAGTGAGCTTCTGTTTTGTTTAGGACATTTGCTGTCCTGGTTAGGTTTGGGTTTGTGTTTGGGGGGTTTTGTTTGTTTGTTTTGTTTTGTTTTTGTTTTTGTTGTTTTTTTGTATCTGTGAACTTAGCACAAACCAAGACATATCTGAGAAAGGAAATGTCAGCTGAGGAATGTTTCCAGCAGACCAGCCTGTGCCGGTCTTTTCTTGATTGATGGTTAATGTGGGAGGGTCCAGACCATTGTGGGCAACACCGCCACCATAGTCACATGGTCCCAGGGAGTCTAGGAAAGCAAATTGAACAACCTGTGGGAACATGCCAATATGGTCTCTGCTTCAGTTCCTGGCCCACCAGATTCCTGCCTCAACTTCCCCACAGGATGGACTGTAAACTGTATGATGATGCTAACCCTTTCCTCCTCAGGCTGTTTTTGGTCAGTATTTTTTTTTAATCACAGCGACAGAAACTCAACTAAGACGCTTACTTTGTTTTCCGTTATATGCAGTAAACTATCCTATTGGTTATCCTAACCAATGCACTTTCTTTTAAAATAAACGTCTTTATAATTCTGCTCTGGCTCTCCTCCCACCTAAGCCTTCACACTGTGCTTATAAATAAAAAGTAGCATTAGAGAAACTCAACTAGGTCTGTGTGGGGGAGGAGAACTTTAAGAATGATGTAATATGCCCCCAGCCCCAACACACACACACACACACACACACACACACACGCACACACACACAACCTCTGTGGCTTATGATTAATATTGCCTTAAAATTCCAAATGTATAGGGCTGGAAAGATGGCTGAATGCATCTGTGGCTCTTGCAGAGGACCCGAGTTCAATTCCTATCACCCATATGGTGGCTTACAAGCATCCATAAGTCCAGTACCAGGATGTCCAAGGCTCTCTTCTGACCTCCACAGGCCCCAGGTGCACATGTAGTGCACATACATATACGTATACAAGCAAAACACTCATACACTTAAAACAAAACAAATCGTTTAATTTTCTAAATATTTTTTGTGAGTTTGTGTTTATGTTATTCTTCACTGTAACTGTTGGACACAAATTTTAATGATGCCTGTGATAGCGCAGATCTGGGAAGTTTAAACAGGCAGATAGCTATAAATTCAAGTCTAGCCTGGAGTATATAGCAGGACTCTGCTAAACAAACAAACAAACAAACAAAACAACAAACAAACCTCATAAACATTTCAAGGCTTACCTTTGTTTTGTTTTGTTTTGTGCATGGGTGTTATCTTTGTATACGAATGCAGATACGTGCCTGCCTGTGGAGGCCCGAGGTTGACATCCAGTCTTCCTTAATACCCCTCCACTTTATATATGGAGGCAGGGGCGCTCTCTGAACTTGGAGCTTGTTGGTTCACCTAGTCTGGCTAGCCAGATCCCCTGAGGAGTCCTGACTCCACCTCCTATGCTGGGGTTACCCAAGGACTGCCAAGTACAACCAACTTCCATGGGGCCTTGGGAGCCAAACTCTCCGAGTCACCGTCCTATTTCAAGCTGCTCTTTTGAAATCATTGCACAAACTGACAAGACATTAACAGATTTAGATTTGATATCAAATGTCTTTACCTTCTCATCCCCTCTAAATGGGAAACCCAGTATTTAGGGGACTGGATACTTTAATCATGGGCTCGTTTGGTTAAAGTTCCCTAGTGTTCTCCCCTTTGCCCCAGATTCTTCAAGATTATCAAAACCTCAGACTCAGGATCCCCTCACTAAATAGAGACCTGTGTGTGCCTCAGTCAACAGAGGAGTTCTGTAATATGCGTCCTTCCAAGAGTGTATTTGTCTAGAAAACAAGCAAATGTCACCGCCTTACATTTATTTGGCCATTTTAAGCCAGAAGTGATTTTAGACCACCGTCCTCTGTGCAGAGGCCTGGCACTGACCTCAAAATGCTGGGCAGAGGTTAGCTTCCACCAGGTGCACTTTTTACCAAATGTTTTGTGGAGGAAATTCAGTGTGGAATGCGGTTTCTCTTTGAAGCCAATTTCTTTCCAAGAATCAAAATAAAGCATAACAAATAAATAAAATAAATGAAAAATTTGTAGAAATGAAAGTCTTTGAATATTTTGATGAACACATCCATGTCTACTGGCTAAAGCACTGATTCTGTTGTTCACTGAAATAAACGGTAAGTTTGAAGAGATGTGTTAAGTACAGGCATGGTGCCTGGTTGGTTTCTATTGAGCCGGCTCCGTTTTGTAAGGATCATTGTAACCTTCTAAAAAATATATCAAATTTACCAATACAAGTATCCATCAGCCTGTCTTATCTTATTGGGAGCATGCTTGTATAACAATCAGAATACCAGAAAAGTCTAGACTCTCATGGCTGTTCTTGTTTTGTTTCACAGTTTATGCACCAAGCCTTTCAGTAAGTGACTAGGCCTTCCATAGATCTATGTAGACCAGAAAATAAAGATAATTTTGAGGAAAAAAAAAAAACAAAAAACAAAAACTGCCCTGAGAGTTTCTTTCACTCAGCAGCTTTCGGTAGCTTCCTGTTCGGTACACAGGAAGTCTGGGGAAAATAGATCTCTGTTCTCTGCTCTTCCCCACAGCTTGTCGGTCTAATTGGCCTGCTGGAGACAGGTGTTTGTAAGAGCTGCCAAGACCCTAACTCTGGTAACAAAGTCAGAGTTACCTGCTGAGAGCTGCCGCTGCCTCCCTAGAGAACAAGGCCACAAACCATGAGACTTCAGGGGTTAATTTTGTCTCCATGTGTCAGCACACAAGAAGGTCTCAGCGTTCTTACCATTTCTGAGTTCTCCTCAGCGAGCTTTGCCATCTTCTCTGAGATCATCTTCTTCAAGCAACTGCTCAGGAAAAATGCCTAAGAAACTCAGAAATAGAGATCGCCCTTAGGTCAGGTATGGTGCTGCATGCCTTTTATCCCAGCACTTGGGAGGCAGAGACAGGAAGATTTCTGTGAATTTGAGGCCAGCCTGGTCTACACCATTGTGTAGACCAATGAGTTCTAGGCCAGCCAAGGCTTAAGACCCAGTCACAAACAAACAAACAAACACAGAAACAAACACCAGGACCAGGAGAGATGGCTCAGCAGTTAAGAGCATTGGCTGCTCTTCGGGAGGATAATAGAAGCTAAAAAAACACCAGCACATTTTAAAGAATTTTGTCTTTAACCTTCAGAAACTCACTTCAAGTGCTATAAGCAGGCGAAGATAAGTTTTCTCAATCACAGCAATGTACTGAGAGCTCATTTTAAGACAGATAAGTAAAGCGGCCAGAGCCTCACCCCTGCCGTTTCCCGTGTGAGCCCTGCTTCTGTTCCATGCGTGTGTTATGCAACGAGCAGCTTGTGTTTCTAAGCAATACGCTTAGATGACTGCTTACACTAGTCATAGATAAGTAAATCTTCCACTTAGTGATACAATAATTATTGAGAGGTCTATCGTTAGGCAAAACTACTAACTTACCTATTCGGAAGGAGAAATTAAACCTTTTGCTTTGGGGGTGGGAGGTTAAGGCAGGGTTTCTCTGTGTAGCCCCAGCTGTCCTGGAACTCAGCAGACCAGGCCAGCCTTGAACTCAGAGATCAGCCTGCCTTTGCTGCCTAAGTGCATGTGCTATGTGCCTGGCTTACTGGAAAATTTAAAACTCACTATCCATCTTTGCTTGTTTTCTCTGGATCTTTAACTCTGGCCTTCGGCCACAGCCTCCCCATGGCTTGGTCATCAGTGTCAGTCAAAGTAGGTCGGCTGTACATCTTCCAGGGTCACAAGGGATCCTTTGCTGTACCCTGCGTGCTGGATGTGAGGTCCCTGGGACTCCCACATGCTCTTTCCCACATAACCCTTCTATTTACTGCCTACTTTCTGTCTTAATCTTGGTTTGGCTCTATTAAGGTCTGAGGCACCAAAGCCAAGACTGCAGTTGCTAGACTTTATTCCTGCCCTGAGTTCAGCGCTGGTCATTTTACTGGGACAGGAGATGGAGGAGAGAGAAGAGACAACCAGGCTACAGTGATGGCCAAGGGTTCTCAGGCTCCCACAGAGACAGCAGAATGACTGGGTGACCTGACTAACAGCTCGGATGGCTATGGAACATAAGAAGAAAGAGACTGTTCCCAGAGGAGGGAGAAGGGAAGAGAGAAAAGGTGCTTAAGAAAAACATCTGTGTTAAGTGACAGTCTGCTTTCTGGAGGTTATCCACCGAGATCTCTGGCCCCGCCCAGTGGGAGGGCTCAAGGGAAGGGGAAAGGACAGGAGCAGGTGTCATTGCCCTAGGGGCTGCTGTTGCGCTGAGCCGAGCTGGGCCAGCGCGAGCGTTCTCTTCCTAGGCAGTGTTACAGCTCTTGTGACGGATGCTCTCAGTCAACCAAGTAACACACACCTTTATTCCTTCTGGATAGGATCTTAGATACAGTTTTGGGGTGGGTTGGGTCTGACAGCAGGTGCTTCCTATTGGCTCAGACTGAGGTGCCTCATCTACATGAGGAGAGACGGGCTCTTCCCCTACGTGACTGATGGCCACAGTTCTCTCTATGGGGGCTGTGGCTACATGGAGTCAGAGCAGGCAAAGCTCCTGCCGTCCCTTCTGGGTCTCTGGGGCTTCAAGCCTTAGCTCGACCTTATCAGGCTTCCTCTCAAGGCCCACTACACCACAGGAATGTACAAGCGTAATTTATAATAACTAGTCCTGTGCATCTGCACATAGATGTAACTTTTACAAAATCAAGATGCAAGTTCAGACAGTAAAACCCAGAACTGATGTAGGTGGTTTGGATGTGTAAACGGTGGTCCACAAGATGTGGACCAATTCCACTATTTCCTATGCTGTTCATGCAAGCAGGTAAGCTAGGGTCTCTATCAGCCAGATCTGGCTTGCTAGGTACAAACAAAACAAAAACAAACAAACAAAAAACCACCCCCCCCAGGTTTGTTTAAAGGAGCACAGAGAGAACTCGCCCTTTGGCCCTCCTGGGTATTGGTAATGGACAGTCACATTACGCCTGTGACAAGCAGCCCTTTGGGTATTCACCCACGTGATTCATCCTCCAAAGGAAGCATGATCTCACTAGAAATGTTTATTATCCTTCTCTGTGGTGACTTAACCTCATTTCCTGCTGTTTAGATGAAAAGAGTATAATAAAATTTAACAGCACAGTATTCTGAGGAGAGTGTGAAGGGAGGGTAGTTTCCAATCTCCCTCTGCTTTCCCCTCTACCTGGAAATTGTACAAAACTTCCTTTTATCTTCCTAAGGATGCGTCATGTCAACTTGACACAAGCTGGAGTCATCAGAAAGGAGGGAACCTCAACTGAGAAAATGCCTCCCTAAGACCATACTGCAGGCAAGCCGGTAGGGCATTTTCTTACTCAGTGATTGATGTGGGGGCCCAGCCCACTGTGGGTGGAGCCATCCCTGGGCTGGTGGTCCTGGGTTCTATAAGAAAGCAGACTGAGCAAGCAGTGTGAAGCAAGCCAGTGCACAGCACTCCTCCATGGCCTCTGCATCAGCTCCTGCCTCCAGGTTCCTGCCTGTTTGAGCTCCTGTCCTGACTTCTTTGACGATGAACAGTGATATCAAAGGCAAATAAACTCTTTCATACCCAAGTTGCTTTTAGTCACGGTGTTTTAGCATAACAGTAGTAACCCTAGCTAAGACATCTAGAGAGCATTTCTTTCCCTTAGGATCGTAGTTCTTTTTGCTTTCCAGAGGACGCTGATGTGACCACAGCTGTATCAGAGGGTTGAAAGGGGGCTTTGGTGAGCAGAAACCAAATTCGACGTGTGACTAAGCAGGACTCATGCCAAATACAACATCAATGTAAGGTTTACCTTAGTATTTTTATTAGAATTTAGAACACCTAGAACTATTTATTAACTTTAAGATTTATTATTTTTATTTATGGTACGACTTTTTGCTGCATGCTGGTGCCCTCAAAGGTCAATACTGGAACTGCTGTTACTTGTAGTTGTAAGCAACCATGTGGGTTCTGGAAATGGAAGCCAGGTCCTTTCCAAGAGCAGTAAGTATTCTACCTGCTGAGCCATCTCTCCAGGTCCTCCTTCATCACCACCACCATCACCATGACCATCACCATCATCATCATCACCATCACCATCATCACCATCATCATCATCAACATCATCATCA